GCCCATTAAGGGGTAAGGGGTAAGTTGCTCACATCTGGAACCCGAGGCTGCGGCTAGATATTAACCCGAGGAATCGATTGCGACCCTTATTTATGCTATCAGACGAACCCTTGAGGCCCTTTTGACGCGCCCCTTCCTTTAAGGGCCGATTAAGGGGTAAGGGGTAAGTTGCACACATCTGGAACCCAAGGCTGCGGCTAGATATTGACCCGAGGAATCGATTGCGACCCTTATTTTGGCGATCAGACGAACCCTTGAGGCACTTTTGACGCGCCCCTTCCCTTAAGGGCCGATTAAGGGGTAAGGGGTAAAAGCTAGGGCCAAATAAAGGTCATATTCTTGCTCCCCGTCCCCCAATTGACCGAATATGAGTTTTTTGAGTGATTCTGAATCCGACGCTGTATTCGTTGTTGTTGCTGACGCTAACTTCACGGACATAATACTTACTTGTTTTCCACTGCAGCAGGTTAGCACAAATTTGCAGTAAGTTAGTACGATCGCACGGTAACTGCGATCTGAAGCTGCCACTAGTTTGACATACGTGACCTTGGTCATTATGGCCTACCTTGGCGGGAAGGCGACGGTGACGCCCAAGGTGACGCCACTTTCGAGTCTCAACTCAAGATCATATCTGATTCTGAGGCCTGAGCCACCCATGCAAGGTCATGGCCTCCTCGTTTGCTCCTCGTGGCCCATGGAGTCCCTGCTGATGCTGAATGTGTCACAGGTGGGATTAATCCTATTTTTGAGGTTGTACTGTTTGAATAATTTTATGTGATAAGTAAGAAGTAGTAACATTTGTTTCATTATCATGTAGAAAAAGTTTGATTAAAAAAAAACATGAATGCCTCTCGGAACTTGTGCTTTTGAATTTTCAAAAAGACTTTCTAGGTAATAATAAGAGATAGGTTACTATGCTACTCCTTAGTCCTCACTTATATTATAATTGTCTCTCAGAGTTACTTACAAATTTATCTGATATTGCACTGTTGACTGTTGAGTGTTGAAGATAGGTAGGTGTAAGGTAGGTACCTATGTACCTACTACCTAGTCCTACTAGGTAGCTGCTTGAATCTTTGGTCAAGGCTACTACTCGTATGCTGCTTAATACAATTGTGGTATGCGGCATATTCATTTTGTCATAGCTTTGAGTCAAATAATCAACAAATGCCTATAGTGAGTCATGGGTTGAATGAAATAAGTTCAATAAAAATGTCGTGTGAGTCATGAGTTGATTTGAATCGATTCATCAAAATGTGAGTCATGAGTTGATTCGAATCATTCCGTTGGCTAGTTGCTCGAGTCATGAGTTGATTCGAATCATTTTATCGAGGAACTTGATGAGTCATGAGTTGATTCGAATCAATTAAATTTAACATCATGAGTCGTTTGATGAATCGATTCAAATTTCCAGACTCAAACAAAGAATCGACTCAAAAAAAATTTGAGTCGTTTACAAGTCTGCCCCCTAGGCGTTCTAGGGTTAAAATGGCCAAACATGAGTTTCGTTAGGCCTAAGGCTAGAAAAAACTAAAGGGCTGAGGACATCAACCAGGTCATCTGGACTAACTAGTCCACGTTCGAGATGAAACACCCGTCCAAACCCGAAAACAACCCCATAAGGGCGAAGGAGGAGGCCTCCGTTTCGTCCCGTTATGTTCCTATGCGAAAGGCCAAGGTCACGGTATTGTGGGGTTATAGGCGTCCAGACGCTGACCAGGTTGCGATTGGTGTCCCAGAAACAGCTTTGGGAAGCATAATGCTTTTCCAAGAACATCTAGGAGGAGTTTCAGCCCTCAAGCTGAACTCGAACCGCGAGTATGAACACATTTATAGAGGAGAAAATGGCATCCAAGAGGTCGTAGGCCCATCTTCAGGCAAGACAGTGCATAAGTGCACAGGTCAAGCAAAGCTTAACCCTATTCCTGGCGGGCTCCGCCGGGACAAGAAACTGGCGGGGGGGGGGGCCGATTCGGCCCCCCCCCCCCTGAGATCTCGAGAACGAAGCAAGATAGCGACAAGCGGTAAACGGCATCGGATACGCACGACCAAGATCTACAATTTTTACTAAGGTCATTTTCAGGTCAGGTCAAAGATGACGTCACAGGGGTCGAAAAAGTCAAAATGGCGGCACTAGATATGGAGAGAGTTTTTCTCGAATAACTTTCGAATTAGTCAAGATAGGAACAAACTAAGGGCATCATCGTGATCCTCTCGTCAATCCGCATCGAATGATATATATGTTGACCTCGAAAGGTCAAGGTCAAAGGTTGACCTCAGGTCACGTGACCTCGAGGTCATCATGTATATCATTCGATGCGTCTTGACGAGCTGAACACAATGAGACCATCCACGCGTCTGTATCTTGTTCCTGTACGGAGTTATTGGCCAAAAACCTTTGGTGACCTTTGATGACGTCACATGACCTCACAGCTGCCCAACAGCAAAACAGACCTCAAGGTAGTGAAGGTTGATCGTATATGAAGTCATGTATGGTATATGGGGCCATTCCGACCCGTTTTAGTGGTAAAAACAGGGAGTTGATTTTTCCCCCATTGACTTATAATGGGGAGGTCGCGAAATTGACCTGACCTTAGGTCACCGATATCAAAATTCCGAGATATACAAATTGCACATACTGGTACCCTAACTAAACCCTGAAGAGAAGAAATTGATCGGTCAAAAACTCTAGCTCTGGCGTGATTGCAAACTTTTCTGAGGTAGCGTCACCAAACCGCCTCTGGTGACCTGACCTGAGGTCAGATCAACTCAAAATTTTCAGACATGTTGCGTAGAAGCCTTTTAGGAAAAGTCAGAAAATTTGAGCTTCCTAGCTCAACGCGTTTGGGAGATATAACCAAAAAACCTCAGGGGGGGCTCCTGAGGCCCCCCCCCCCGCCAGGAATAGGGTTAAAAGCGGTGCAAAAAGACTGTGACAGGCGTTTGTGGCAAGACCACATGCCACCTGCACCTCATCGGATCAAAATTTCATAAATATTTGTTGGTTATGCTGAAAGTTAGGCTCGTCGAAGCGTAGCGCTGTTCAAGCCTCGGGGAGCTCACGGCGCATGTCAAGTCAGTCTGGGTTAACTTTAAGCCTGCTATGCAGCCAAACATGCCGGTTGGCATGCCGAGGCATGTGTTCATGTGTTTGCCTATGAAATGGGGAGCACATTGAGGGGTCACAGATATATCAAAACGCAATGTACTCTGTTTCACTTGCAAATATAATGTGAGAACGAACTTATGGGACACCCTGTAGAACTGAATTAATTCGGTATCTTATTGGAAATCATGTGACCAACTGAAAGATCAACGATTTCTGATGTCTTGTGACAATGCCGATATGTCGCTGTGCAAACGTTTGAATTGACCTGATCTTGTGTGTACCTAACAACACTGTACTGAGATTTTCGCCTATGTTGGAGCTACTGTACTAATCACCGAATACGTATAAGTGTGTGTGTGTGTGTGTGTGTGTGTGTGTGTGTGTGTGTGTGTGTGTGTGTGTGTGTGTGTGTGTGTGTGTGTGTGTGTGTGTGTGTGTGTGTGTGTGTGTGTGTGTGTGTGCGTGTGTAAATGGTGAATGTCGAGGTCTTTTCGGTTTCACACACCGGTAAGTCGAGGACCTCTGGTGTATATCGAGGACCGATTGCCGGTCCTCGACTTTAAATGTCGTCGAGAGCCTACTATCAATGTATTTTCTATCATCTGACGAAGTTTTGAGCTGGTCCTCTTAATGTACGAAACTCATACTATTTTCACACAGATTGTGTATCCGTGTGTAAACATCTCGAGTGGTTGACGTGCGTGAACGTCGAATGACACTGCGAGCGGCCATGTTAAGTACAAGAACTTTTTCTGTTGGTATGTTAAATTCGTGATACTCGTTGGTTTTCTTTGATATTAATACAAATAATATTTTCGAAACTTAAAATTTTTAAGGGATATTGTGAGCATTCTTGTATTTATGGAAAATATTTATACCTAATGTTTTATTTATCATTACACCAGCGGCATGCTCTGCCAAGGACGTAGCCAGGGGGGAGTCCACGGGGCCATGCCCCCATGATGGTGAAAAATAAAATAAAATAAAAATAATAAATAAGCTTGGCCATTCACTCAAAAATAGTGGGCCAAGTCTGAGGAATTTTCTTTTATGGAGGGGGTACCTTGGCTGGTGCCTGGCTAGTGGCTGGTGCTCCCCCCCCCCCCCCCTGAGCAAAATCCTGGCTACGTGCCTGTGCTCTGCGGAAGGACATTCTTCGCCGGTGTTTGGCGTCGGCGCCATGTTTTGCGGTGGTTTTGCCGGAGCGCTGTTCGGCAGCCGGCTATTTTGTGTGCAGGGTATGACGTATTTCGCGAGCCGACGTCACAGGCGGTGACGTCGGCTCCCGCGCGAGCCGAGCGCCAACGACAAACTAACGGGAACCCTCGGACACCCTCGGGGCATAAACCGCGGAGTAGCATATTGAGCGAGTATTATAAGGAAAATTCATATATTTTCGTTTCTCAAATGATAATCAGGGTGTCTCTTACCTTTTTGCATATCATTTAGGCTTACCTAACACTTCAGTTGCCAAATATCTGCAATTTATTCAAGCGAAGGTATTTTCAGTAAATATCAATGGTATCGACCGAAATCTTTTGAATAAAAATTCCAACCAACAGAAATAAAAATAACTTAATTTATTCCAACCATTTCCTTCAAATAAACAACATAAAAACTCACTTTTACACACATCATTCATAATAAAGCATACTAACACGCCGCTTTCGACAATTGCGGCGTCGAGTGGCGCGCTGCTAGCGCTCTTTTTCGATCGCAGAGACCCTGCACGCGCGCGAGCACACTACGTCACGTCCGGGGGGCACAGGTATATGAAAAATCGCAGTGACGTAACACTTTTCTCGCTTCTCATTGGTCAATAGCCCGTTGCCGGGGTAACGTGCACGTATGTGAGCGCGGGCAAGAGTACTAGCCGGCCGCCGATCAGGGCCCGGGCTTGGTTGGCGTTGATCGTGGAGTGTCAGCGTAAAGGTGGCAAGGAACCGGAGTTGGAGGTAAGAGTTTGCTATGCACATTTTTTTCCTTGAAGTTTTTTAGCCTTACTGGCGCCAGGCTAGTCAGCGACTCACTCTTTCGTCTGGAAGAAGATAGGCCCCTCTTGCACGGAGACTTCAGTTAAAATCGCTTTCAATGGATTTTAAATAGAGTGTAGACCATTAATATGGAATATGAATCTCAATCTAAATACGTTGCCAAGTTTATAGACTTATTCGTCCAAGGAAACTGCGAGTTCGGGGTTAGTCTCCGTGCAAGGGGGGCCTATCTTCTTCCAAACGATAGATTGAGTCCAGTCAGCAGACAAGGCCGAAAAATGCAGTGTTTCTGTTTAAGCCATTGGCCAGTTTAATTAATAGACGTCCTTGCCTAAAAAGTATCTGATAGAAAATAAATCTTTTGAATATAACACATAAGTATGGGCCTATCAACCAGGGTCTCGTCTAAGGAATTTTCACTGGGGGGGGGGGGCAGAGACTGAAGGAGCCAAACCTAGGGCCTACCGCACCAGATTTTGACCACCAGTGTTTCATCACAGCCCTGAGACAATGATTTATTTTTATTTTTTGAAAACTAAAAAAGAAACAGGGCGTCCGAGCCATGCTTTAACATTAGTTCAGGGCATAGGCGGCGGAACGGGGAGGGCACCGGCGTACCGTGCCCCCTTTGATTTTGGCATTTTAACATTAGCCCTATGGGCGTTGCATGGAAAAAAATGGGACTAAAAGTTGGCAGTGCCCCCCCCCCCCCCCCCTCCTTGATCGAAGGTGTTCCGCCGCTACTGGTTCAGGTAATTATTATCTAATTTATATAAACTCATGGATGATGGTAGAATTAACAATGAACAGTTATTGAGCAAGAAAAATTATTTTATGTTTCTCATTAAATCCTTGTAAGACTCCTAACAAAAACATATTGCAGAGAAGGTAATTTTGTGAGAAGTTCACGTTTTGACTGGGAGGGGGGACAATGTTGGCCACTGGGAGGGGGCAAATGTTTGCCATCAATTGCCCCCCCCCCCAGTTAACATGCTAGACGTGGCCCTGCTATCAACTAGGCAAGATTGTGCTGAGTCTGCTGGCGGCCATTTGCTTCTGGTGTACAGTTTCCGTCAAGTGTTAGTTATTAAATAAATGTTGGGTTAGTTCAGACCTGGCTAAGGTGTGCTTTTTAGGCTACTTGTGACTGGGTTTGGCAAGCTCTTCAAATTATTTTAGTTAAAGTCAATCATGTGAAATATTTCTCCAGACAAAAATGTGATGTAATCAGTGGCGCGGGAATTTCTACAAGACTGGGGGAGGGGGCTGCACGATAATAAAGATCAACCTAGGGTACCCCCAAATCTAGTTTTCTCACCGGTTTTAGGCCACTTATTTTTCATACCTTGGCCTTTTTAATGAAAAAAAGAAGAAAACGTTTGCAAAAAAAGTGAGATATTCCGTCTCAGCTAAGTGGAGAAACTACCGTTTTGGCAACCTGGAATAAAGGTTTTAATATGCCAAATGAGTTTCCGAGCCAGTACAAGAGGTGGATTTTTCACCTACATGCTTTCTTCCTTTGTGACCCACAACCCCTAATTTGGGGAGGACAAGCTGCCCAACGGTTTCTGGCCTTATGAAAAGCTGTGGGGCACTGCCCCCACGGCCCCAGTCGTGGGGGCAAGCTGCCCCCACTGCCCCCTGGTTTCCGCACCTATGTATGAATCTATAAAATTATGTTGGTAGATTTCCGATTTCAATTCCTCCAGTTGGGGGGGGGGGGGGCTCAAATACATTACGAGCCCCCCCCCCCCCCAGCTGAAAAGTTGGAGGGGCTCAGGCCCTGCTAGCCCCCCGGTTCCTGTGCCACTGGATGTAATCCCAAAATTGAAGACAGATTGTGCTCATTTTTTAAAACTTTTTAGTCAGTTCCTTTTTTCCTGTTCATGTGTTCTGACTGGCATGAGCATGCTGTTTTCTGGCCTATTTTTAACTTTATTCATGAATTAATGCAGCATTTTAGTTATAAGTTGCAGTCGGACGCTGAGCAATTCGATGCTAGCCAATTTACGGTCTAGCATGGTCCATGCCAATCTTGTTTTAGCAGTTTTAGCACTTTAGCAGTCTGTTGGCACTTGTGCTTGGATTGTGGATGCTTCGCATAAATTCATGTGGAATTTGTGTTCAATTTTTCATTGCTCTGTCCACCAAGAAACAAGAGGTATTCATTGTCAACAACATCATTGAAAATTAATTGCCTAAACATTTACATCATAGCAAAACTGTTCTCGATTTGGTACTTTCTTGGCAGATGTCGCCCGAGCTTCCATTTATATATGCCTCGCGATTGTCACAATTGAATATTTACAGTACATATAGAACAAAACATAATCTAACCTGATCTAACCTAACCTACAACCTAACACCTACCAACCTACAACCTACCTAACGAGATATGGCAGCTCGGGCGGTGTCTCCTAAGAGAGAACCCTTGATTTTCAGTGCTACAACATGCTTCTAAAGCTCTGTTGTATCATAGGTAATGCTGACAGCTACTAGGTATCATTCAAACTATTTTATTTCTGTATTGCTACATTTTTACATCACGTGCCATCATATTACCCAATACACAAGATTGATTTTTCAACTATTTGTATCTACATCTAAATGTAATATTATCAAAATGATATTGAAAATTTCAGTAATAGAAGATGTGAAAGCTGGTTCTTTGACGCAATAATTTGTTCATAAGGCTGTGATGTGCTTATGCTATTCTGCCGTCCAAAGGCAAAGCGCATATGCATATGACATGCGTTTTTGCCTTTGGATGGCAGTATTAACATAACAAAGGCCAAAAGTGAATTTATAGTACCTATCTTATGGTAGTTTGTCAATAATACTGTGCTTGAATGTAGCCATGCAGGATGACTTGGCTATACCTGAGCATAAAATTTGGTAGAAAACAAGGTATGCAGTGTATTATCAGACCATTTTTGCTGATGAACTACCCTCTTCTCACATCAGCATGGGTGGCTGTTCAGACGTACAGTGTCGCTGCAGTCAATGGTGGGTCTCGCATCCCACCGCTCCTCCATTAGGTTAAGCTCACCTATTTCACTACTTTGACACATATTTCACCACTTTGACATTCATTTTTGGATTGGCATTTTACAGCTGGGCTGTCAGTTAATCTGAAAAAATAAAATAAACTGCCTTGTCAGTTGTCAATGAAGCTGGGTAATTGCTCACTGCTGTAGCTACTAGCTAGCATAATTGGTATCAAAATCCCCTGCCTCATCCATGTTGTTGGGTCAGTGCAGTGCCAGTTGTGCCATGCCACAGTGGCTGTGAATGTGATAGTTGATTTATGAATCACCCTGATTTGTCTGCAAAGTTGGCTCACCTTGCTATTTTACCTCTCACATTTGATTTGCAAATCCAATTTTTTAGTCCATGAACTTGGGTTCGTGCACCTGATTGCCATGGCTGGTAGTAGTAGTACAGTTGATCAAATCCTGCTGGCTTGTATGCAAAGTTGGTCAGTATACATTGCCATTGTGAATATTACAGTTGATAAATTATTTCTGACCTTGTCCTTGATTATAGTTTAATTAGACAACTGATGAAATTATATCAGATTCAGAAATTTGTTACCACAGTTCAGTCATGCCACATAAAAATTGGCATTATTTCCAGTGGATGGTTTCATGTTTACATTGATTGTCCATTTGTCATGTGACATGACTCTAAATTGTGTTCAAAAGGTTGCCAAGCTTTCGTGGCGCGTTCTCCTTTTCGTGGCGGCGGGCGCCGTCACCCCCGCCGGCGGCCGGCGGACGCGGTGGGGTGGAACCCCCCGCGGCCGCAGTCCGCATGCGGCGGCGTTGGGCGACCGCCCCCCGTGCTCGGTCACTCGGGCGCGCAGGTCCGGCGGCCATCACACGCTCCCCCCGCCCCACTCGGCCCGGCCACAGTGGCCGTGCACCCGGGCGCGCAGGCCCATAAACCCCACGCACTCTCCCATTTTTCCGCGCGCGGGTGCCCGGGCCCAGCTCCGCCCGGGGACGACAGCGACCGGCCTCTGGCACGCGCCCCGTCCAGGCCGGCGCAGCCGCACGCCCCGAGCCGCGGACGCGAGGCCGCCGGGCGCGCCGGGCGCGCAGCTCCTATACTTCTTGTTAATCCGCCCACCCCCGCGGTTAATCCGGTGTCCTCCTGTCTGCCCCCGCCGGGGAGACGGGCTCCATCTCGTCGTACGCAACCACCCCCCCCCCCCCACAGGGCAGCCCCTGCAGCGGCGGCCACTCCGCCCCGCGGCGCGGGCGCGCGGGCCCATCCACCAGCAGGCGGCAGCGGGGACGCCCACGCCCGGGCCGGCGCACCCGCCCACACCGCGCATGCACCCACATGCATGCATACTAACAATAGTACGAACATCTTTGCTGACTTTTTATTCCTCTTTTTCCTTTTTTCTTTTTATCTCATGTTTTTTATTCACTTTGTTTTTCTCTTTTCCTCTCTTTTTCTTTTTTTTTGTGTTGTCTCTTCTCTTTTTTGTCTCTCTCTTCTTTTTCTTCTTTTTTTTTTGTTAGGGGGTAGGTATGGGGCATGGGTGGGGTGGGTTTTGATTCGCTGTGTTGCGATGGTTGGGTTGGGTGGATGTGCTTTGACACTATAACTATTACAAAATTTCGCTCACTTGTCCATGATGTTGAATTAGTGTCCCTAACCGATATGGTCATCACAGTTGGTATTAACTGGTACGAGCATTGTACCTATACCTTATATTAAATAGGTTTGTCGGCTTGTAGGTGTTGTAGGTTTGTAGGTTGTAGGTTAGGTCAGGTTATGTTATGTTATGCTAGTTTTTGTTTGGTTTGGTTACAAAGAAGCATCTTCGGGTATAGCGCCTTCCTTTGGTTGGAAAAAAGAAACGCGCGGCTGTGATGGTATATACTGCCTCGCGCAAACTGCTGCTACCAAATTATTGTGTCCAAATGACGTCATAGGAACAGCGGAGGCCCCAAAAAATAAACAAAAATGAATGTATTATCCTAAAAACTGACATATTTTTCGTAAAATTTGGTAGGTATTGATTTTTGTTTTCTTTCTGAACCACAGTACATCACTTTTATTTCAATGCATCAACTTTTTTGATGGTAGGAGGGTCCATCTAAGCTAGCGTCACACTTCCTTCTAAAGTTGTAGGGTTTAGATTGTAGGAAGTAGGTTGTAGGTTGGGTATTGGTAAGGGAGACGTAGCACGAGCTGCCATATGCGATACCATAGGTTGTAGGTTGTAGAAAGTAGGCTGTAGGTTGAAGGTCAGGTTAGGTCAAGTTTGATTAGTTTTTTTTTTTTGTTTGCTTGGAAAGACGCATTCCCGCGCATATGGCAGCTCGTGCCTCGTGCTACGTCTGCCTTACCAATACCATAGGTTGTATGTGGTAGGTTGTAGGTAAGGTTACTGGTTAGGTCAGGTTAAATTATCTTTTTGCCATATATTAACTGAGAAAAACAGGTATCGGTTGGTTATATTTTCGAGGGTATACGTGGCACGTGTCCCGCGCCACGTGCCACACATGACCCATGCAAGCCCATTAGCTGTTGGGTGTCTAGGCGTATACCAAATATGGATCGGCCAAGTCGTTGCCTAGATATAGCCAGGGGAATATTTCCGAGGCAGGGACGTATCCAGAACCTTTCGATGGCGGGGGGGGGGGGGGCTGGGTACAGTGGTCCCAGTCATCCCTTGCAGACGGGCTCATCTGTAGCGGCCTTAGCCAGAAAATGTGGAAAATTGGCAGGTGAAGGTGTCATTTTTCCCTGAATAGTATGCATAAAATGCACAGAATCTAATGAGCGAGCGAACGCCTCAGAGTCACCGGTGTGGGTCCCTCGGACGCACTGGTGTGGAGCTCTCAGAGGTGCCGGTGAAAGGCCATCAGATGCAATGGTATGGGGTCCTCACAGGCGCCGTTGTTGGGGCCTTAGGGCTTTGAGACACTGGTGGGGGCCATCATAGGCATGTGTGGGGCCCTGAAAGTTACTAAGCCCTCAGAGTCACTGGTAAATGCCGTCAGATGCGCTAGCGGAGGGCCCTCAGAGGCGCCGGTGTGGGGCTCTTAGAGCCGCCAATGTGGGCTTTTAAGGGGCACTGGTGTGGGGCCCTTAGAGGTGACGGCGACGGCCCTCGCAGGCGCCAATGTGAAGGCCCTCAGAAGCACTGGTGTGGCTCGTGGGGACATAACAGACGGGTGTGGGGTCCTTACAGCTGATCCCTCATTGGCCAGCTAGGCCCTCAGAGGCCGGCACTAGGTCCCTCTGAAGCAGGCGTGGGGCCCTTCTGGATATAAGTGTGGCTACATAAGAGCCCACGATTTGCTATCACAAGCCCTGTGGAGTCCTTTCCAGTTGAAGGGTGGCTAGCGTGGACCCTCTGCCGCCAATTGGCACCACAGGGCCTTTCGGGCACGGGGGAACCTAAACCCGATAACGAACACATGCCCCCTCGCCCTCTGGTTATGCCACTGAATCCAAGTGATCAGGGGCCACTTATCGGGGGCGTCTCAGGTGACCAGGGGCCTTTCAATTGACCAGAGCCCACTAGGTGACCAGGGGAGGGGATCCTCTAATAACCAGGGGCCAGTAATACCAGGGGCACCTCAGGGAACAAAGGGCCTTCATATGCCTGCAGGGGCCATTCAGATAACCAGATACTCTCTGGGCAAACATGGCCCCTCAGGTGACCAGGGTTTCTTCAGATCGCTGCCCAGGGGCCACCCAGGTGATCATGGGTCCCTCAGGTAACTAGGGACCATCATATAACCAGGGACCCGTCAGGTAACCAGAGCCCCTCAGATAACCAGGAGCCCCCCATATCCAGGGGCCTCTCGGATGACCAGGGGCCTCTCAGATAACCAGGGTCCCTCAGATGACCAAGGGACCCTCAGATAGCCAGGGGCTCCTCAGATATCCAGGTGCATCTCAGGTAACCAGGAGGCCCCTCAGGCCATCAGGAGGCTCCTCAGGTGGTCAGGGGCCCCTCATAACCAGTTACCAGGGGCCCCTCAGGTGACCAGGGAGGTAACCAGGGAGCCCCTCAGGTGACCAAGTGCCCCGCAGATGGCCAAGGGGCCCTTCAGGTGACCAAGGGCCCTTCAGATGGTCAGGGGGCCCCTCAGATGACCAGGGAGCCCCTCAGGACGTAACCAGGGGCCCTCAGTTAGTAAAGGGCGCTGTGGGCTCGCCACTGTGACAGAATCCCTCTTTGATATTATTTTTTCTTTCGAGTAAAAATGTTCTGTCTGATATTGAAATTAAGAGCGCGTTCGCAGTCTCCCGGACGACGAAGATTCTACGTCGTCCGGCCAATCGGACGACGTAGAATCTTCGTGTAGAATCTTCGTCGTCCGAGAGACTACGAATCCGCCCTAACTCTAATGCACGAGGACCCTTCGGACCCAGGCTGGGTCGCGTGCTGGGTCCGCCTGAGTTATCCCTGGGTCGCAGGGACCCCTCGCGCCTTCTGCGCTCAGGGGGGGGGGGAGGGCATGGTCCCCTGTGCCCCCCCCCCCTTGGGTGCGTCACTGGACTGAAGAGCGTGACCACGGCCGGCCGGCGCTCACACTGAGCTTTTCCCTAAGTTGAATAGAGACAAACGGTCGCTTCGCTCCCGTTCGTAATAACTTGCAGTAGGAGTCTGTTTGTTAGTTTGTCTTGGAAAGTTCCTCGTAATCGTAAACTAGCTAACATGTTAAAATTGAAGTCGGAGGCTGGTTTTGAGGTACACCATTAGGTATGCTTAGAATAGAAGGAAGTAGCCGTATTATCATTTCTGAATACGAACGGTTTAATGAAATAAGAATGATATAGCGAATTTCGGGCCTTCCTCGGAATCAACAAGCTCAAATTTCGGCTGGTAATTTGTAACATTTTGTAAAATCGTAATGCATTTCGTTTATTTACAGACGTCGGCTGTGCTGCCATTTGGTCTGCATTGACCAAAGAAATGCCAAGAAGAAAGGTGAGTGTGGTGAACTGCTATTTGATTGACTATACTGATGCAGAAGTTCTACTTTCGTGAGAGGTAGCTGGAAAGGAAAGATCTTTTGAGAACACATCTGCAGCGAGTATTCCTTCATTCAGAATAATAATGTCATGTCGACCGAGGAGGAGGGAGTTAGTGTATCCACCACCATTATGGCTAAACGTTTTGGTTTGTAAAAAATATCCATTAGGGATATCCAATTAGGATATCCCTAATGGATATTCAAAATCCAAAACCACTCACAGACAGACAAACCACTCAGACAAAATCCACTCACCTTTCTAATTTCTTCATATCCAATTAGGGATATGCAAAAAGGTGTTTTGTATACTGCTTACCCACAAGATTTTCAGGCATACCCTGCATACCCCTTTCCGCAGCCCTTGTCACGGAGAAGCACCAGGCCGGTGTTTCACAGCCGCTAGTAGCGCGCCGCCAGCGCGTTTCGCGAGCTGGCGTTATATGATGACGTCACACTAATGACGTTTCGTGTAATCCGTGAGCTCCTTCATAGCTGCGATTGGAACAGAGTTGCTGTCGCGTTGAATGTATTTGATATATTTGCTTTGCCCCATTAGTTAACATTTATGACACACTCAAAATCTCAAAATCGAGAAAAATTGAGGTGTGGGGTTTAAAAAAAAAGGTGTCGATTTGGCGTTTCTAGATTTAGCAGGAGCCGAGGTAGCAGAACCTTTTACAACAAAATATACATCATTTTGTTATATACATCATCATTGCCTGTCCCGTAGCTCAGTTGATAGAGCGTCGGACTCCCGGTAGTGAGAGCCCAGGTTCGAGTCGCTCCGGCGCTCGATATTTGAGACTCCTGACGGGGATGGTCTGCGGTTGGTGAGAGCACCCGCAGCCAGTTGAAGTCAGTTGAGTGGGACAGGCCGTGTCCGGCTTTGAAGGGCACGTTAAACTTTGGCATCTAAATTCTCCCGTTACCTGGAATTGCGCGATCGGATGGTAGCGGTCGGGGTCTACGCAACAAGCTCTGCTTAGCGTGGGCCCCGGCTCTGTCAATCCGTCCATTCAAACATTGGAGCTAAATTTAAAAAAAAAATGAGGCGGCTTCACAAAAACAGACATGTGGGTCATGGGCTTGACTGAGCTCAGCGATTGCCCTGAGACTTCAAAACTTTGCGGTGAATCCGATCGTAATACATTTTTGCTTTGCTCATGTAGTCCCGGGTAGTACTTTGAAATTAAATATTTTCGATTTAAGGCATTTCTGGATGTTGCGAGTGTCGAAACCGGTGATTGTGAGCCACGGACCCAAATTGAACTATCTCAAATCAAATCTTATCTTAAGGTGGGATGGTCACTTTAACTAAAGTGATTAATGCTCGCTGAAGCTATTCTCTTCTCAGCACGTTTCATGCATGTGTGTATTACGAGTATCGCATGCTTACGTAGTTACACAATTTCATTGCATGTATTCGTTGTTTCCAGGCACGCCCAAGAGGGCCCCTAGGGAGGAAAAAGCTGAAGAGAAGTGTGGAGGTAAGATACAAATTAAGTTTTGCTACTCATTGTTCAAATATTTATATGCATGTACTATGTAACTACTGAAGGTGGGACACGTACCTACCTACTTTGATTAAATTCCTTGCCATTTCCGTCATGAATTTTCTTGCGCTACATATCCATTTGGTTTGATTAAATGGGCATGTGACTAATTGTGTACCTGCACTTACAGTACTGGAGAACTGCCATGTATGAGGACTTACGATTCTCAAGTTCTACCATGGATCATGATACCTGTGCGTCACTGATCGACTTTCTCATTTTCCAGGAGATTTTTTTCGTGGAAAAAATCCTCGAGTATTCTGCGGATGAAGACAAGTACCGAGTAAAATGGCAAGGCTCGTCGTAAGTACATAACTATAAGAAATGTGTCTCAATAATGTAGGCCGCCAGTTGTCAACACGTGTGATCGTCCTGTCTGTACATTGTAGTTTGTTGTTTCATTCAACTAATGTTGGTTAAAAGTGTCTGTTTCATTGGTTTCAAAATAAGTTGGTCTTTGATATCAATTACCAGAGAAATAACATGGGAACCGCCCTGCAATTTCAATCCTGACCTTATCCACTCATATCATAGCCATGAGTGATACAATGAAAAATGAGATAGGCGAGTCATACCATACCTACAGTGGATTTGTACATTGTATCAAATAATATAAGTTTCACATTACTGTTTCTAAGGTTGGATTTAAGGGTTTTCCTGTCCTGAGCTATGCACTTCAGCTATGCAATCATATAACAATAAACCAGATCAAACTAGTCATTATCCTCGTCGCACCGTAGGTATCTAACAAGTAACCATTCGTCATAATTATCTGTCCTCCAGAGAAATCACATGGGAACCATCCTGCAATTTCCATCCTGACCTTCTCCGCTCATATCATAGCGGTAAGTGGTACAATGAAAAATAAGATAGATGAGTCATGCCATACAGTGCGATTCGCTTATTGTCTTATAGCAAGTAATGGTTGAGAGCGTTATGGAGGGCGGTGTTGTCGAGCAGGCCGACTGTACAATAAGTACATACTGTCCCCAGTCCCCAGTACATACCGTTCGAAAATTCGGCAGGAAGTGCGGTGCCAGGGTGTCGGGAGGCTGGTCCAGCACCGGCAGCAGGTGTTTCCGACTGCGCGCTTTTGTCGGCGGCAGCTGCGCCGGCCCGGATGGGTGTGTTGGAACTCCACCCTTCGGCGAGCCTTTGATCTTCGCTTAATGGTGACCGGCCGACGGGTCGGGGGATCGTATGGTCGACTCCCTCCCCACGCCGGCTCAGCGCCGCGGCAGGCAGTGCGATCGTCCTTACGTATAGAGTGTGAGAGATGTCCTTTTTGACGTACGGAGAAAAAAATGTCACAGCTTCCAGCTGTTACAGTACCGCTCGATTATTTTGTTGAGTTGTGTATTAGCTCTACCCTACCCCTACCCCTACCCCTGCCCTACCCCTACCCCTATCCTACCCCTCCACACGACGACCCGGAGCCCCGGGTCGTCGTGTGCAGCAGGATGCGATGACTGCGAATCACGGTACGCTTATTGTCGGTAATGTTAGCTTCAGAGCAGATGTCTCATCTCTTTAGGTAACTATTTGAAACTTGTTTAACATTTGGCGTTTGGATGCAGACATCTTGCATAGTCGTTTGATTATCGTATTTGTACAAACAATTTGACGACCGAGTGTTTCACACTTCTTTCTTCGTCGATCTGACCGTGTCTGGTATGTTGCAGGCGGCGCGCCGCAGATCCCCGGGTCGTCTTCGGCGTGTGGCGCGCCACAGATCCCCGGGTCGTCGTCGGCGTGTGGCGCAGGTCACGCGCCGCAGATCCCCGGGTCGTCGTCGGCGTGTGGCGCAGGATACTACGACTCTGCGAACCTCGGTACGTTTATTGTCGAGAACAATTGCCTCACCAGATGATTTATTATCTCTGGTGACAATAATGAGCATTTGATGAAACACACTCAGCATATACATATTGTCGCTTGCTTATCATGCTTGTATAACGATTTGACTGGTTTAGTTAGGTCTTCATTCCAGGCTTGTGCCTGGAATGTGAAATGTTCTAAAACAGATAACTTGTCATAGATCAGGTTATTAGTTTGAAACTAGTCACCATATGGTGTATTAATTCAGACGGGGAGGAGGAGGCTTTCATATGTCATGATAATAATGCTCACTCAAGGGTTTAGCCGGCTGAGCGTCTCACTCGACCTTTCTGGTATGTTGCAGACGGCGCGCCGCAGATCCCCGGGTCGTCTTCGGCGTGTGGCGCACCGCAGAGCCCCGGGTCGTCGCCGGCGTGTGACGCAGGCGGCGCGCCGCAGATCCCCGGGTCGTCGTCGGCGTGTGGCGCACCGCAGAGCCCCGGGCCGTCGGCGTGTGGCGCAGACGGCGCACCGCAGAGCCCCGGGTCGTCGTCGGCGTGTGGCGCAGGATACTACGACTCTGCGAACCTCGGTACGTTTATTGTCGAGAACAATTGCCTCACCAGATGATTTATTATCTCTGGTGACAATAATGAGCATTTGATGAAACACACTCAGTATATATTGTCGCTTGCTTATCATGCTTGTATAACGATTTGACTGGTTTAGGTCTTCATTCCAGGCTTGTGCCTGGAATGTGAAATGTTCTAAAATAGATAACTTGTCATAGATCAGGTTATTAGTTTGAAACTAGTCACCATATGGTGTATTAATTCAGACGGGGAGGAGGAGGCTTTCATATGTCATGATAATCATGTTCACTCAAGGGTTTAGCCGGCTGAGCGTCTCACTCGACCTTTCTGGTATGTTGCAGACGGCGCGCCGCAGAGCCCCGGGTCGTCTTCGGCGTGTGGCGCGCCGCAGAGCCCCGGGTCGTCGTCGGCGTGTGACGCAGACGGCGCGCCGCAGAGCCCCGGGTCGTCGTCGGCGTGTGGCGCAGGTGGCGCGCCACAGATCCCCGGGTCGTCGTCGGCGTGTGGCGCAGGTGGCGCGCCGCAGAGCCCCGGGTCGTCGTCGGCGTGTGGCGCACCGCAGAGCCCCGGGCCGTCGGCGTGTGGCGCAGACGGCGCGCCGCAGAGCCCCGGGTCGTCGTCGGCGTGTGGCGCAGGTGGCGCGCCACAGATCCCCGGGTCGTCGTCGGCGTGTGGCGCAGGTGGCGCGCCACAGAGCCCCGGGTCGTCGTCGGCGTGTGGCGCAGGATACTACGACTCTGCGAACCTCGGTACGTTTATTGTCGAGAACAATTGCCTCACCAGATGATTTATTATCTCTGGTGACAATAATGAGCATTTGATGAAACACACTCAGCATATACATATTGTCGCTTGCTTATCATGCTTGTATAACGATTTGACTGGTTTAGTTAGGTCTTCATTCCAGGCTTGTGCCTGGAATGTGAAATGTTCTAAAACAGATAACTTGTCATAGATCAGGTTATTAGTTTGAAACTAGTCACCATATGGTGTATTAATTCAGACGGGGAGGAGGAGGCTTTCATATGTCATGATAATAATGCTCACTCAAGGGTGTAGCCGGCTGAGCGTCTCACTCGACCTTTCTGGTATGTTGCAGACGGCGCGCCGCAGATCCCCGGGTCGTCTTCGGCGTGTGGCGCACCGCTGAGCCCCGGGTCGTCTTCGGCGTGTGACGCGCCGCAGAGCCCCGGGTCGTCGCCGGCGTGTGGCGCAGGCGGCGCGCCGCAGATCCCCGGGTCGTCGTCGGCGTGTGGCGCAGGATACTACGACTCTGCGAACCTCGGTACGTTTATTGTCGAGAACAATTGCCTCACCAGATGATTTATTATCTCTGGTGACAATAATGAGCATTTGATGAAACACACTCAGTATATATTGTCGCTTGCTTATCATGCTTGTATAACGATTTGACTGGTTTAGGTCTTCATTCCAGGCTTGTGCCTGGAATGTGAAATGTTCTAAAATAGATAACTTGTCATAGATCAGGTTATTAGTTTGAAACTAGTCACCATATGGTGTATTAATTCAGACGGGAAGGAGGAGGCTTTCATATGTCATGATAATCATGTTCACTCAAGGGTTTAGCCGGCTGAGCGTCTCACTCGACCTTTCTGGTATGTTGCAGACGGCGCGCCGCAGAGCCCCGGGTCGTCTTCGGCGTGTGGCGCGCCGCAGAGCCCCGGGTCGTCGTCGGCGTGTGACGCAGACGGCGCGCCGCAGAGCCCCGGGTCGTCGTCGGCGTGTGGCGCAGGTGGCGCGCCACAGATCCCCGGGTCGTCGTCGGCGTGTGGCGCAGGTGGCGCGCCGCAGAGCCCCGGGTCGTCGTCGGCGTGTGGCGCACTGCAGAGCCCCGGGCCGTCGGCGTGTGGCGCAGACGGCGCACAGCAGAGCCCCGGGTCGTCGTCGGCGTGTGGCGCAGGTCACGCGCCGCAGATCCCCGGGTCGTCGTCGGCGTGTGGCGCAGGATACTACGACTCTGCGAACCTCGGTACGTTTATTGTCGAAAATAATTGCCTCACCAGATGATTTATTATCTCTGGTGACAATAATGAGCATTTGATGAAACATAGTCAGCATATATTGTCCCCTGCTTTTCACGCTTGTATAACGATTTGACTGGTTTAGGTCTTCATTCCAAGGTTGTGCCTGGAATGTGAAATGTTCTAAAATAGATAACTTGTCATGGATCAGGTTATTAGTTTGAAACTAGTCACCATATGGTGTATTAATTCAGACGGGGAGGAGGAGGCTTACATATGTCATGATAATCATGTTCACTCAAGGGTTTAGCCGGCTGAGCGTCTCACTCGACCTTTCTGGTATGTTGCAGACGGCGCGCCGCAGATCCCCGGGTCGTCGCCGGCGTGTGGCGCAGGATGCTACGACTCTGCGAACCTCGGTACGTTTATTGTCGGGAATCGCGTGCCGAGTGGCGCCATCACTGAGCTGTGTAAGCTATTGTTCTGACCTTTTTCGGGTGAAATATCAACATCGAGCGAGATCGCTTCAGCTGTTTTCGACATCTACCAGCCAGAGATCACTGTGCGCACTTGCAAAGTGGCGCCCCTCCAACTTGAGGATGACGCCTCTCAGATCAGTTTTTAGTAGCACAGCAGTTTTGGACGCAATCGGTGCAGCTATTTCTGAAATATCGAAGCCGATCTTGCACGTGGGCGCGTTTTGTGAAAACCTCACTGAGTTGTGGAAGCCTCATTTTCTGACCAGTTAATTCACATTTTTATTCACAAGCGATAACAATGTGTCTCTAAATACATATCAATTTTGAGTGTCACGGGTCCAACAGCTGTTCATGAGATATTAAAACCCGCATTGCGTGTGCGCACGTCCAGTAGCGCCCCACCCTCAACACATGCAAATGCATTATCTGATGGTTGCCCAACGGTATACCAAATTTCAGTGCAATCACTGCAATATGTCGGAAGTTATTGCTGTCCATGGGGGTAACCGCCTATGCGACTGTGCGGAATGTCCGCATTTTTTTACGGGCACCATCGGCGCCCCCTCTCTCCGACCTGTTTATTATTCATTTGCAGCAAACGGCGCGCCACCCCTGAGAAACGTCTTACAAACGACTTCCTTTGTACAAACGCTTCCAAAGCGACTCCTTTTTTGCAGGGGTGCCCTTATAAGCTTCATAGGCGCTCCTTCGCATGCAAGGCGCCCCGAAGATCACAGGCGCCGCCAAAGGTCTCACAGGCGCCTTTGTTTCGCATGCACTGCCATGGGCGTCGTCATCACTACGGACACTACGGACAGTGTCCGTAGATGTTTTGGAAGGCCCGAAAACTTGTACGGAATGTTCGTACAAGTTTCGACGACTGAAAAACAGTATTTGCACATGTTTTGAAGTAGCTTAACGCTTATCAGTCCCCTATTTGTGGGTAAAGTTACGATCCAAGGCAGCCCCAAAGTCAATGTCACGCAAGAGTCTATATTCTATCGGTCTATCTTCTGCTGCGCGGTGAAGATGACCGAACTGCACCCACTGTGGGGAACGACTCTCAGTGGCCCATGTGCTGCTGAATTGCCGCCGGCTTGCCGGGATGCGGTCACACCACCTCGGGCATTTTGCGCCCACAGTGACTCTCCTATATCTTCTCTCAGATAACTCGCGCTGGATCCATAACGGTAGCATATTTTCCTTTACCCGTGCAGCTAACTTCCCCGTTACTTTCCTATCCTAAGCATAAAACGTAAATAAGTAAGTAATTAAAGACGTATTTAAAATCTTTGTTATGGGCGCAAAATGACCTCGCCGTCGGCGCGCCCCTAACCCCCAACAAACAAACAACAAACAAGGTCTCACTTTGCACGTGCGCAAGTGCAGGACAAGCGTAGCTATATGTTTACCATTCACGCCAATCACGAAATAATGGATCGCTTTAGTGCATGGGAGTTTCAGAAACAATGTAAAGCTAATGTGCGCACTCCTAGCATTTTTCCCTACCACCTTCACGGCATATGTGAATACTATGCCATGGTATTTAGCATTGCTGTGCAACGCGTTCACTTTTACCATCCAATGAATCCCTGTCCTGTTCGCAGTGACTTACGTCGAACTTGATCATCGGCCTCCTCGGCCACCAAAGCCGCCCCACTTAAGAGGGGCGCCGTTGGTCTTTCATCCGCCTCCTCGGCCACCAAAGCCGTCCCACTTAAGAGGGGCGCCGTTGGTCAATTATATGACTATTGACCGGAAGCGGACTCTGGCCTTGGAGAAGGCGCTGGAGCAACAGGCCCAATTTCGTGCTTGGCAGGCGGCACAAGCACGGCTTCATCGCCCCTGCCAAGCAGCCAACCAGCCCCCACGGCCAGATACTGACCAACCAGCACGCCGAAACCGTTTTTGGTGCTGTGTGGTGACGTGAACCTGGTGTGGTGAAATGGGCAGCTATTCGCGCTGTATTGTCCTTTGAACCGTCAAAGCGGCCTTGTGTTGGCTGCCAGTAACTCAAACGTCCCCGGCCGTCACCGGCGTTAAACATGCGGCCGAGATCCAGATCTTGAGCAAATTCAGCTGCTGTGCGATGTTCAAGCTGTGCATTGGCCAACCCATTGACAGAAGAGTCCACGACTGACTGACGAGTATTACCCGAGCAACATCCTGTCAGACAAATTAGTCCGTAGGAGAATGAGAAGTGACGCCGGGAGAAGCTCTTATCCTTCTGGACTAACGGACTACGGCTTGGAAATAGTTTTCATCCTAATTTCATCGAGATCTTATGGACTTTTGTCTAGCAAGAGGTGAATAAGGGGACACCCGGCACCAGGGCCCAATCTTACCAAATGCCGTGAATGCGCATTCACGGCATTTGGTAACATTCAGAACTATTCCACATTCACTTATTCATTCGTTCTGGCGACATTCATAATCATTCACGCTATCAAAATCATTGGACAAGATTACCTTGAGGTAAATAAAAAGGACATCTTTGATATCAGTGCCGTAAACTCCGGCCAGTGCTGCCAAATCCTATTCACGGCATTGGTAAGATTGGGCCCAGGACAGAGCAACGGTATGTAGGCACATGCTAATACGGCGTCGGTCCACATCAAACCCACTGTGCTTAAAAACCCAGTAGCTGGAATGTTCTAGGCATTTCTAAATATGATCTTATGAAAGGTGGCTATATCATCATCAAAGGGAAACAACCTCAGGTTGTTTGTTTCTTAATTACAGCTGAAAGAAAGGTTTGCGGATAATGTCGTTACACTCTGTATCATTCTATAGACTAATTCACTGATACGTCAGCCATAATAATTCTGTGACTTTTGTGCATAATGTAATGTGGTGCCCCGACATAAGACTTGACCGTTTCAAACAGTAACTATGTCATTCGATGCATCTTGATATGACTAATGCGTTGGCACCACCTTCTTTGCTGAAGAACTCTGCAAAAAAAAAACCGCAGCTCGGGGTCGCTGACCTGCCATCTACCCTAATGTAGGTATCAAAAATGTGTTTGTATTTTTTCCGAAGCCCCTAGGCCCCCTAGGCATTCGGGGGCTATCGCAACTATTCGTCCGGGGTGGGGGAAAATGCCCTCCACGGGCCCGCGTGGGTTTACACCTCTGACGAGTGTTACGGCTGACAGAATGTGTCCGTACAAGTTGGGGAGCCGTGGCGACGCCCCTGGGCCTGGGCGCCAGTTGGTGTGTGGTCTTTTCAGTCTCATTTGACCGATTTTTTCGTTTTATTCACAGAATCGTTGGAGTGCTTGCCTACGGCCGTGGTGCTGCCAATGGTGCAAGCACAAGAATCTGATACAGAATCGGAGCTCACTGCCACAGGTGAGTGATTTTGTCCAGCGATACGTTTTTTTTTTTTTGACAATGCATGTTTTATAAGTGCTTCGAAATCTTGATTATTTTGAAATGGCACGGCTACTCCCGTTACATGACAATGAATAATAATGCACACAGGGCAAGCGGAAATTCTTGGTCGGATGTTTTATAACAAAGCCAAGATCGTTATTTGGGAATAATTGATTATTAAGCCACTTATTGCATGTAAAACCGCAAGGTGTTTGATGCAGGTCTTTGATCCTGGGAAGGGTTCTACAATGACGGGCTGAGTCGGTGAAGACACTAGCGGGGCAGCAAAAGAAATATTTTAATATTCATGTGATATTGTAGCAATAATTTGGTAAGATAACAAAAAAGTAGTGTTTAAGCGTCACAGGTTAGGCTAAGCTTCAAAATTATACATTTCAGCTCTGGTGTTCAGCGACCATGCATCAAGTGATCGACTTAACCCTATTCCTGGCGGGGGGGGCCTCAGGAGCCCCCCCTCCTGAGGTTTTTTGGTTATATCTCCCAAACGCTTTGAGCTAGGAAGCTCAAATTTTCTGACTTTTTCTAAAAGGCTTTTACGCAACATTTCTGAAAATTTTGAGTTGATCTGATCTCAGGTCAGGTCACCAGAGGCGGTTTGGTGACCCTACCTCAGAAAAGTTTGCAATCACGCCAGAGCTAGAGTTTTTGACCGATCTATTTGAGACTCCTGACGGGGATGGTCTGCGGTTGGTGGGAGCAGCCGCAGCCAGTTGAAGTCAGTTGAGTGGGACAGGCCGTGTCCGGCTTTGAAGGGCACGTTAAACTTTGGCATCTAAATTCTCCCGTTACCTGGAATTGCGCGATCGGATGGTAGCGGTCGGGGTCTACGCAACAAGCTCTGCTTAGCGTGGGCCCCGGCTCTGTCAATCCGTCCATTCAAACATTGGAGCTAAATTTATAAAAAAAATGAGGCGGCTTCACAAAAACAGACATGTGGGTCATGGGCTTGACTGAGCTCAGCGATTGCCCTGAGACTTCAAAACTTATTCCATTAACTGTATCTCGTGACGTCCAACACGCTCAGATTTCGCAAAGTTGTAATCATTTAGGGTCGAAACGTCGCATGGAGTTGAACCCCGTTGTGCTGGAGCACATGCAGAACACATACCACACATGAAGTCTGCTGAATGGTAACGACCCCCTCTCCCTTTCACACTTGCTCACTCACCTTCTTTCACGTCGTATTCATTTCTTCGCAGATGATGTCCAAGATGACGACTGGGATGATCCCGACTACATACCTGATCACGACTCAGACGAGGACGCGTGCCCTCCTTCAGTGGCCTCAGAAGGGCTTGATGAGCTGCCACGGTACCCTGGACTAGCCGCCGGAGCCGGAGCCGCACCAGCCGCTGGAGGGGCACGGATCGTGTCCCATGATGGGGATGCGCCGCAGATTGGTTCAGAATCCGCTGGTCCCCAGTCGTCCCCTTACCCAGTGGCAATGACCGCGAATAGTCCGGGGCGTCGGAAGTGGAATCGGCGTAATTTTTGTCCCTACTGCGAACGGCCTCACGCGAAATTGACCAGGCATCTTCAGCGGGCACACGCGACGGAGTTTGATGTCGCGATGGCCCTCATGAAACCGGTGCGCTCTCTCCAAAGGCGGAGAGCACTATGTGCTTTGGCAAAGTTGGGCAATTATCGTCACAACATAGCGGTCAGATCTGGGGAGAAAAGAGGGGAGCTTGTCGCGTGTAACAGGGCTCGTACACTGAAATCCGGAGATGACTATCTGGCGTGTAACGTTTGTAAGGGGTTCTTCCTCCGTGCGACCTTGTGGCGACACAAGCGTGTGTGCAACCCTACAGGAGGCGGAAGAGTCCAGGCCGCCGCCAGAGCAGCGATGCCATCGAACAGCGCGACCTCTTCAAAGCTTCGCAAAGTGCTCGACTGTATGTGCATTGATAGTGTGTCCTTGCTCTGCAAAACAGATGACACCATTCTTTTGTTCGGCGAGTATCTTTGCGCTAAGCTAGGCACCGAGAACAAGGATGTACAAAACATCAGGAACAGGATCAGGGAGCTGGGAAGGCTGTTGGAAGTGCTGAGAACGAAGGACCCAGAGGCGAAGCTGAAAGACTTCATCGAACCACGACGGTTTTCGGAACTGACCACAGCCGTTCGTGAAATGTGTGGGTTCAGCTCGGAGAGCCACAAGTATGCCACGCCTTCTTTGGCGCTGAAAATCGGACAGAGCATGAAAGTATGCGCGGAGCAGATCCTGGCTCAGCAGATCGAAAGTGGCAACGAAACGTCACCGACAAGGCAGTTCATTGAATTGTACAACCTTCAGTGGACTAAGCAAGTATCGCGACACGCTCTTGTAACTCTGCAGGAGGCGAAGTGGAACAAAGTAGAAACGATGCCTGTAGCAGCCGACATACAGCTGGTGCATCGCTACCTGGACAATGAAACGGAACTCAAAGTTGCTGAACTCACAAACGATCCCACCCCAGCAACCCACAAAGCTGTGGCAGAGCTGGTACTCGCGCGCCTAATAATGTTTAACAGAAGGAGGCAAGGCGAGGCGTCGGCGATGACGATCGACGCTTACCAAAAAGCTACCTCATCTGACGGCACAAATCACCCTGAGGTTACCAGCTCCCTGAGCAGCTTTGAACAGCACTTGGCAGGAAGTCTACTCAGAGTCGTTATCCGAGGAAAGAAGGGTCGCGGAGTGCCGATGCTGCTGACACAGGAGATGCGAAGGACCGTCGACATCTTGCTCGAGCATCGGGAAGCAGCGGGCGTTGGCGCGTCGCAGTATGTGTTTGTCAACTCCATGGCGTCAGACGACAGGCCTCTCAGGGGTGCGGACTGCCTGCGGAAGTTTGCACGACTGAGCGGGCTCAAGAATCCGGAATCACTTACATCCACCAAGCTCAGAAAACACATTGCAACGCTTTCCCAAGTCTTGAATCTCAAAGATAATGAGCTGGACTTGCTAGCCGGATTCCTAGGGCACGACGTCAGGGTACACCGAAGTGTGTACAGAATGCCTGAGGCAACAACCCAGCTGGCTCTTGTCAGTAAGCTCCTTATGGCTTCTGAACAGGGAATGGGGGCATGGAGAGGCAAGAGTCTCGGTGAGATACAGTTTGAGGATATCCCCGATGTGGAAGAGATACCAGATGCAGATGAGAACGCTCAGGCCGAAGAGACTGCTCCGCGAGCTTCTTGTTCTCAAGCAGGAAATGTCACAGAGGCGCAGGACAGTATTGGAGGAGATGCCGAAGAAGCCGAAGAAGTGAGTGAGCCGAGAATGAATGCTCCTCAAGCCGAGGCTGCACGACCGATGAAGAGAAAGAAATGGACACCAGAGGAGGATAGGGCGATTCACAAGCACTTCGCACACTTCATCAGCCGTTTCAAAGTTCCTGGAAAAGTGGACTGTGTGAGGGCGATCGCGGCGGAGAGTGCGTTGTCCGCAAGATCGTGGACAGATGTTAAGAACTGCGTTTATAACCGCATACAAAGACGAAAGAAACACGGACACTGACAGGTCACTGACGTGTGAGGTGACTTACGAGTCACCTCACGAGTCACCTCACGAGAGTCACCTCATGAGTCACCTCACGAGTCACCTCACGAGACGTGAGGTGACTCACGTCGCTGTTCAGCTGAGTGTGGATGTTTTGGGAATACATATTCCCCGTCATTGTCTCTCTTCAGTGTTTTGCTGATACCATTGTATGACAGTAACGAATAGGTACATCTAGTCGAAAGTCAAGGTGGAAATTTCTGAAAGGGTGCCGTGGGAAGGAATGATGTTGAACAATAGTCCCCCCTCTCCTGAAAGTAGATCTGACAGATATAATGCATTTTCGATAAAAAGTACTATGTATAATATCACCAACGCAGCGTAAGATGTATCTAGCAGCAACTACTAATTACTTCCCAGCCAGCAAAAAAATTGGTCTGGGCCGTATTTGCTTTCACTCTGGCTAGCTCCGGCACTCTTGCTCCGGCCGAAGAACGGGCAAGGTCTGTGGCTCTACTGGAGCTGACACACGATCCCGGAGCTCTCCCGCACCACGGCCGGACTTGAACCATGTCAGTCGTGCCGTACCTCAACCGTACATCAGCCACAGTAAGCCAGAGCAGCTACGAGACACTGCCGGACTTGACCGTAGCACGCCCGGACGGTACCACGCCTTGGCCGCACCATAGCCATAGCGCGCCGGACCAGTTCGGAGTACAGCCAGCGCTATCCAGGCCAAACCGTAGCTCGCCTGAGTTGAGCTCATTGGAAATACGCTCTGGCCCAAATCCGGCCCAGAGTTGTGCAGTCCACAGCAGAAGTAATGTGCGGTTTCAGTCATGGGTATGTTCTTCTTCTGAAGCTTAGGAACGACTAGCCAGACTGCAATGAAACTTTGAATGTAGCTTACATGTATCGTCACCCTTGCAGCTGCAAGTTTGTCTATTGGCGTCTTCTTTTCGATCACTCCGCATTTAAAAATCGTCAGTCAAAGCCATCCGTTGAGATTGGTAAAACCGCACATTACTTCAGCTGTGGGCTGTACCAGGCAGGGACGTATCCAGGCCTTGTATTGAGGGGTAAAATCAGGTGCGGTGTCAGGCACCCGAAATGGAAACCGCAATACATATTCACCTCGTGGCACCAAAGACGAAAACATGCATGTAAGAAGTGTATTTTAGGCCAGCGGCGGCATCGGTGATGGGGTGGGGCCCAGGGGTGGGAGCTTGGGACGGAATTGGGTTCTACCGGCTCTAGCGCTATAGCACGGCAGAACTGGTGGAAGTTCACTTCTTCACTAACCCTCGCTGGGAGGATCACTCGTCGGACCGTTAGGCAGCGGCCCATTTGCGGCCTCGATGTTCCTTAGACAGTGCCTGACCAGACGGTGTGCGCGCCCCCATTCCGGTCGCAGCTTCCGGACAGCCACTTCGCTACCGCCTTGCTGACAGTGGGCCCGTGTCGTAAGGCACGCTGACGAGTTCCAGGACGTCTGCGGGAAGACATGAGGGAAAATCAGTTATATTCAATTCATGAAAAAATCACAAGAATACCTGCGCCACTTCTCCTAACAGTGCGAAAGGCAAGATCAAACATTGCAACACCTTGAGACATAGAGCTACAATGAATATAGCCTAAACCGCACGATATTACAAGGCACAATCTTCTTAAATGTCGTAAATGCTACTCTGACTTACCAGCCAAAACAACAATCAGATCAAACGCAGATAACTGGCGTTATCTTTAGTTAACTCCGTAACGCATTGTGTGCTCCATAAGTCATAACTCAGTGTTTGTTCGTTTATCGGCCGGCCGTCTCTCTCTTCCTGATATCCTATTGACCTATTCATCTTCCAGCTACCTCAGCTGCGACAGCCGCCGGTCCTCACTGCTCGCTCGGGCCGCGTAAAGTGAGGCTCAGCCGACTCGTTCTGGCCGCCCGCCGGTGACGTCACGGCCCCTCCGGCGAGGTCAGGTCGGGCCACCGCGCGCCAGTGCCGGCCGGACTTGGCGGTCCGAAATCATACTACCTCCGGAGCGCTACGGCAAAGACTTGGCTAGCCGGAGTAGAAACATATCGACCCAAGCCCTTGCTCCCACGGCGTTCCGTTTAGTTACACCGGCTTAAATCTGGCATGCCGGAGTTGCCGGAGCAATACGGACTTGAGCCAAACCAAACTGCTGGCTGGGTTTAAAGCTATTGGACACATACGTGTGCAATACATAATACATACGGTAAATTGCAAATGGTCTGCTGGAAACATCTCGAAACCTTTTGTAAACACCGTTATTGGGTGTGGGGCAAGTTACTCCATGGAAATGCCTTCACGGATAAGTTCAGGAGATTTATCATTGAGTGAGTGGTTTTATTAAAGTGCATTCATTTTGTCACACGAGGAATCGGACATGACTCACGCATATCGTGTTTCTTATGAGTGCTAAACGTCAATTCTGGGTTGAAGCTCCACCAAGGTCAATATTTTTTTTAACTTGAACGTTTGATTTCGATAAAAAAACGTCAGTGCACCATAAAACTGAACAGAGAAAAGGCTGCTCTACCACTCGTGCACACTCTCGGTCACGGCCACGGCCCGTATCCCGCCCAGACGCCAGGTCTGACACCCGCGACCCGACCGCCGACCGCTCACCCCCACTCTAGCACAGCTCGTCCGGTACCACCCCATATCACCACTCCACCGCCCGCCGTATCACTTTTAGCTCAACGTAGCATAGCCCTCTGAGCCTAAAAAAAAACTTGAACTCGGCCCGGTGCAGCACGGCCGGCCCGACGGAGGGTTCCCGTAAGAGGTCAGGTCGGGTAACGCGGGCCACAGGTCACCTCGCACTGAACCCGGTGTCCGGCCGAGTCCTCACAGCGGCACCGGCGGGCCAGCTCCGCGCCCGCGGCTATACCTCAGTAACGTCGCCGCTGACTCGTCGTAACCCTCGTCGGGGCTCTCGTGTAGACTCGAGTGCGCCGCCGTCACGTGGTCGCCGAATTTGACCGGGCGGCGGCGCGGGTAGACCGCTGCTGTTCGGGTCACCGCGGGTTGACGGCGCACTTGACTAGTTCGGCACCTCGTCGTCAATGAAGCCGGCCGGCGGTGCCAGAGGAGGGAGACTGTCCAGCCCCGGCGGACTGGGGAGGCCCCCTTGCGGTGGCGGCGCGGCCTCGGCCACCGCCACAGGCAGCGCAGATCGAGGTGGGGGCGACGGCGGTGGCGGCCGGCTGGATACCGAGACCGACTGCATCTGGAGGAGCTCGGCGGCCGGCGGCTCCGCTGGGCGGCCGTGCGGACGGTGCCGCGGCAGGCTGCGGTAGCCGGCCGGCGGCACACCGGCCAGCTGCTGGTGGTAGGACGGGCTGCGGCCGACGGTGCTACTGCGGCGCGGATCCGGCCCGGGGTGCACGTCCACGTGCACCAGCGGCGCCGGCTCATCGGCCCACCGCAGCGCGCCCAGCCGCTTGGAGGAGCGGCGCCGCTCATAGCCCGTGGGTTAAGTCTCCGCCGGAGCAGCGGTCGGCGTGGCGTGCCTGCGGCGGCCAACCGGCGCCTGCGCCCGCCGCGCCCACCACCTTGGGCGCCGAGCACGTGCTGCTGGGAGTATCCACGGCCGTGCTGATGACCTCGGTCTTGGCATCGGCCTCGGCGGGCGGCCGCTGTTGCCTCCTGCGCGCGAATCGCAGCGCCACCAGACAGACGAGCAGGGCCAACAGTGCCAGCAGGAGCGCCAGCGGGGCGCCTACCGCCGCCAGATAGGTGGGTCTCTCGGCGCTGACTCAGAACTGCTACTCCCCGGAGGCAGTAGCACTCGCAGTGTGTGACCGAGCTGGCGCCGGCCATATTGGTCGCCGTGCAGCGGAACACTTCCTCGTCCGCCACGTGTTGGCGTGCAGGTCCACCCCGTGCAGACCCAGCGACAGTCCGTCCGGCTGCATGGTGAATAGCCGGTTACCGTCCAATCGCAGCCACTGCAGCTTGGTCTGAGCGGCGAACGCATCCTCCTCGACCGTCTCCAGCTCACAGCGCGACAGCTCCAGCGAGGTGAGCCCGCGCAGGCCCGTCAGACTGGTGCGCGACAGTCGCCGGATCGGGTTACCGCTCAGCGACAGCCGCATCAGCGGCCAGCGCGGGAGCGTCGGTGAAGGTACGACCCGGGACTTGCGTCAACAGGTTATCGCTGAGGTCGAGCTCCACCAGGTTTGTCAGACCAACCAGCGCGTGGTCGTTCACCTGTGAGAGCTTACATCTCGCCAGGTATTTTCGCCCAGTCGTTTTTGTCAGCCCAGTATTTTCGGGGATAACAGGGTGGAGGGCGAAACGTCCCTCCTTTACGGCGAGCGGGGTATGGCAATAGTCCTACGGAGCGCGGGTTAATGTTCAGCTGATGGTCCTCGATTTGCACCCATTTGTGTGTTAAGCATGGTCCCCGATATTCATGAAATGCACACGCATTTCACACACCTGGTCCTCGGGGTTCGGTGATGTCCTCGAGATTCCAGTCTCATGGCATTTCTCTCATAAGGCGATTTTTACTAATTTCAAACGCCTAGGTGACTCAATTTGCCCTATATTTTTAATATATATGTTATGAACGGCCTCCTGCAATCGGAAAAGGTGGTCCTCGAGATACACGATACTGACATGGTGCTCGTCTTTCACCGTATACACGTATAGGTGTGTGTGTGTGTGTGTGTGTGTGTGTGTGTTATTTACATTTCCCTGTAATGCCCACCATCTGGTGGTTAGTGGAAATAAACGGAGTAATAATAATAATAATAATAGGGCGAGATTAAAAAAACAAACCCCGAATCGTAAAACATGGCAGAAAATATTGCATGAGCGCGTTTCGATTACATGTTCTGACTCCAGTTCGTTGACTACGGGCAGCTACGGACTCCGTCTATCTATCCGTACTCCAGACACCCAACTCCGTACTGAGAGCTGTTAACTCCGTACTAAAGACTCCTAACTCCGTACTAAGGACTCCTAGCTTCTGACTCCTACCTCAGCACTCCGGCTCCGGACACCACGCGTCTCTCTCTCTCTCTCTCTCTCTCTCTCTCTCTCTCTCTCTCTCTCTCTCTCTCTCTCTCTCTCTCTCTCTCTCTCTCTCTCTCTCTCTCTCTCCCTCTCTCTCCCTCCCCCCTCCGTACTCCAGACGACAGGTATGTGTAGCG